ATACATAACATGTCGTGGCTCAAGAATTGACATTGCTTCTGAATTTTGAAAACCTTCCGCTCACTGAATTTCACTGGCAAAACAATGAACTATTTTTGTAAAAATTAGAGAATTTTATAAATTTCCAAAAAATTGGTTCGAGTTTTTTTAATGATTTAATAATTTTAATAAAAAAAAAGAAATTTTTTAAAAGACAATAAATACTATAATTAATCATATTGATTCAGATCAAAGAATAATAAATAGATTGGAATTAAAATTGGATTAAATTAAATTACGATATGTCATAGAGATTTGTAAAAATTATCACAAAGAATTGACATTTAACAAGTAAAGTTACTGGTTATAATGATATGATGTGCAAATAATGATGATAACAAAAAAATGATAAGAATGATAAGACTTGTTGCGAAAAGAAAAAATAACTTAAATATGTGCAGCTTATCACTAAACATCAAATAACTTTTGTGTTACAAAATTATTTGAAATTTCAAATCCTGTGAAATGACTCCTTTTTTTCGTTTTTTTTTTAATGTGAAAATTTCAACTGTCATACATAACTTATGATGAGAGATAATGAATAGCGATTTAAATTAAAATTCAACCTAATTGAATGAATTTTGATTGAAATTAAATTTGATTTTAAATTAAACTTCAATAAGATTTCACATTTGTCATTTTCAAATATTTTCAGCATTTTACCTCCAATACAGTTTTATTTTTACAAACAATTTGCTATGTAATATTATATAAATTATTGTAAGGTAATGAAATCTTAAATATGCCAATAAAAAAAGAAAAAAAAATCTAATTTGGAGAGTTTAAAACTGATATTTTATTGAAGTTGAAATCAGAAATCAGATTAAAAAAAATCAGAATTTGAAGTCAGATTCAGTTTTGATCGAAATTCATTTAATTATCAGTTTAGGTTTCAAACCTAAACTGATAATGATTTCAAGGGTAGATTAAAATTCATAAAGTTTGCTAATCGATTATAAATATATTTCTGTTAATTTAAATGACCTTTTAATTAAAATGACCCTTTAACTACTTTTATAATTAAAATAACTACTTTTATTCATATATTTAATCAACAATAATACAGATTAAAAAAAAATTTTTTTTGAAATATCACAAACCGTTCCCATGCATTCATCTCTTTCTAATACAATAGCATACTGTAAGAAGTGGAATACTGTAGATTTAAATTTAAAATATCTTTAATATTTCATTAATGAATATAACTCACTTCAGGAATAGTTCATTTACATTCTGCTTCTTTGTTCTTTTTTTTTTAAATTTTAAAATTACTTTTATCTTTGTGGTCAACCGTTATTTTCATTTTTTTTTTTTTTATTTCTTTTTCGCCAATCTTGCAGTACTGTAATTAAACAAGTAGCTAAAATTATTTATCAAATTTGTAAGATTCAAAAATTTTATCAATTTATCTCTTGCATAATACAAACATATTATAGAAACAATCAAATTTATAGCATAAAAATTCGGTAAATAAAAAAAATGCAATAAATCGAATATCTGAAAACTTAATAAAAATGCATAATTAATAAACATCAGTCAGTCACAATTTCGAAAAGATTGTTAAAATTTAAATATGAGTATCGTTTTATTCTGAATTTTCAACTGAACCACAAAATTTTTGACTAATTTGATCAATTATTGGTGCAGTTATGCATAAAATAATTGGTAATAAAAGAAGAGCATGAAAGACACCGATAATAATTACGAGAAAGATTGTTTTAAAAAATACAAGTATCATATAGGAATTAATAAATGCTAAAATTGTAACACCAAATATCGTTGACATGCTACCATATATAACTGCAATAATATTTATTACTTCTAAATTAAAAAAAAAAAAACTACCATAATACTACAGTAATTACAGTAATCGCCATGAAAAATAAGTAAATTTAATACTTCCTAAGATAGATAGTGCGATATTCCTAACAAGAAGAAAGATGAAGAGGAGTGAGATTAAAATTCTATTGGATTATATAGATTAAATAAACAAATTAATTAACTAAATAAATAAGTAAATTAATTAATAGATTAATTAATTAATTAAGTAAATAAATAAGCTAATTAGCTAGCAAACTAATTAATTAATTGATAAGTTAATTAATTAACTGCCTAAATAATTAATTAAATTAATAAATAAACAAGTATAAACAAATGAATAAATGAATAAATAAATAAATGAACAAATAATAAATAAATAAACAAATAAATAATAAATAAACGAATAGATTAATTACTTAATTAAATAAATAAATAAATAAATAAACAGGTAAACAAATAAATAAATAAATAAACAAATGAACAAATGAAGTATAAATATATACATAATATTATATAATATAATATCCAGCCTTTTATTTATACATGAATATTTTACTTAAATCACAACAAAGCTTTTTTTTTAGTAAGTTTTTTTTTTTTGATAATTAATTACAGTTAATTACAATAACTTACTTGGACATGCTAATTTTTCCATTGCTTCAATACAACGTTCAATCGGTGTCACATTATTTGGATTACTTACAAAAGCATATGTAATATGAGCACAATATTCAATAGAAAAGCCAATTGCCATTATCATAGTTATCATTGATATAGGATCTAACTTAACATTCCATAATGCTAAGAAACCAATTACACCTGTAAACTTTTCATTCTTTAATTTTTCTTCCTTCTTTTGGCTTTTTTTTTTTTACTTCTCAAAGATTACAATTATGTGTAATAATATGGTACTAAAAAATATTTAATTAAATAGATTATTGATTAATTGATTGATTTTATTTGAAAATTCATATCAAAAATTTTTTAAAAATTTGCTAAACTTTCTTCTCGCTA